TAAAGACTAGGTGAAGTTAATGTAAGTTTTTTATTCACTGCCAAATCCTCACAGTAATCTGTTTGATTTTTTTTTTTTTTTTTTTCTATTGAAAGGAAATGCAATACCTTTCACCCCCCATGAATATCTCATGTAACAGTATCAGTGCTGGCTAACGGCATGAGTCACAAGCCAAGGATTTCTGAGCTGACCCATGTACTTACTGTACCCTGGTGCTGATCTCTTGTCATTCAGCCAACCTATAAGGCAGGGTAATGACCAGGACTTGCAGTCCAGTTATAACAGAACCACTACAGTGGGGGACATGTTCACAAGAAGAAGACTTCTAAGAATTTGCCTGCTGTTGTGAAAAAATATATTCCTGTTCTGTAGTAAAACCGTGGGAAAAAAAATAGAGACAGCAGCCAATAAGCTTTGTAATGGTAGCTTACACTGGTTTAATGAAGTTGTGCTTCACTTACGACAAACTGGCATAGAGGACATTCAGTTAGCTGACTCCCTGCATCACTACTTTTTTGTTTTGTTTTCTTTTGTTTTGTTTATTTGTTTTACTGTTTAGCTACATTAACCTTGCATTAAGAAGCTATCAGGTAGGGAAGCAGCCAAAATGAAACAAAATAAAAATCATGGTGGATATTACAAGTGCCAAAAGTAGCCAAAGCAAGTTTATGCTTTAAACTCATTTAAACATGCTGAAAACATGCTTTCTTAATCCAGAAGTAAAGTCATTAAGCCTATAAATCTAAATTGTAGTTGCATTTCAAGTAAGCTGTTTCCTAGCTCTAGTTAGATGCAAGAGATTACTGGCCTTTGCACTACAAAGGGGTTAAGCAGTAATGTTTTGTTTGTATCAGTAGCTGTGCTTCATTAAACATGGTTTTTGTTGACTGTTCTGGAATGCAGAACCCAGTCATTGATCTAACCCACTTGGTGCATCCTTTGGAGATAAAGGGAGGGCTGAAAAGTCTAAGTACTAGGTCAGAGACTAAGTTGGAGATTCATCTTGGCAAGGCAAACATCTGAAAGAGATGAATGGATAACTCATTAAGAAGGAAATTAGTCACTCAAATAAGGCTGGCTATCTAAAAAAAATAATTAACAAATCTCCCACAAGGTAGGATCTTGTACGTAGCGGGGAGCTGATACTTACTGCCAGCCATCTGAATGATAAAATGACAGGCCACTAAAATCAGTAGTTTCACAATTCTTTGTGTCATCTTGGTTTTCTTTTCCTACTTTATCCTGTCATCTGATTAAGGTTGCAATTTAATTCAATCCTGCATAAGGAAATCTTCTTCAAACACATCTAATTTTTACTATAAGGAACAAGACAAGAACACCCACTGCCACTGCGTCACTGACTGGAGATCAGTCAGCTGGGGAAGCCTGAGGAGCTACTGCCCTGTCTCAACTGTGGCTCCAACCCACAGCCATTCTCTCCTATTCCCGGGGGACAATTTTGATACTTTTTATCATGTGGACTTCAGTTTCATCAAAAGGCAACACAAGAAAGATTTCTGAAAAAACAACAACAACAAAAAAGAGTATAACAGGAGCGCATGTTTTCAGTGGGAGCTAATGGTGAGACACAACAGAGGTGTAGCTCTCAAAGAGACAAATGAATATACAGATAGTAAAATACAAGAAATGTAACTCATACTTTATGTGTGATACAGCTAAAAATGTCGCTAATGGCCATGATTGAAGCCTCACTGTTGGCAGAAGGATGCCCTGCACTTCATCCACTGAAACACCGTGCTTCCTCTTGTGGTTTTGCTGGTGTCTATGTGATGTGGACATAGCAGCAGGCTGCATGGGATGGTGCCAGTGGGTTTTGGCTCCTCTCTGACCATGGCTGATCTATTTTGGACATGGTCTTAAAAGGCAAACAGTCTTACATGGTACATGTTGCCAAGGAATGAAATTAAAATATTGAGCTTTTTTCTTTTTAGTAAAATGTTATTTTTCTAAAATTCTGTAATTGCACTGAAATATGAGGATCTTAAGTGACATAGACACTTAAAAGAAATCTTCTTTAGAATATTTTGAGCGTTGCTTTCTGACAGAAGATTTATGAATGGAGTGTTTAAAATCCTTTTTTTTTTTTTTTTGTCTTGTGTGTGTGAAGGAAGTGTTGTCACTTAGCACACTTATATGAGAGATTGTAAGGAGTGTCTTTGAAAATCAACAGTAGCATACACTGTCTGGCATAAGGGATTTGGTTCTTTTTGGTTCTTTCCCACTAATTTTCTGCTGTTGTAGTTTTACTGCGTATAGTGTAATCACCTCTGGTTTGTAGTAGTGAAGTGGAAAACAGTTTCAAGCTGGTGGCCATGCAAAAACATCATCTGTGAGGAAAAAAAAAAAGCAAAATCCAAAAAGCGTATTGGTTTATTTCTCTAGCAGTTTATTCCACTAGGACTGTGAGAATCTTTTTGTACCATTATCATGTAATCAGTGGCTAAGTAAGGAACTGAGAAACTACAGAAGATCTGGGTGGAGACATAAGAAACAGTTCAGCAGTCTGGAACTTCCTCTGCTTAGCAATTCTGGCACTAAAACCAAGCCGAATCAGTGGTATTCTGCCAAAATAAATTTGTGCAATGATGATATCAGATGTGAGGTAACAGCATGTCATGCTAGAGGATATCAGACATTCTTGAATAAACCACAAAGTCTAGATATAATCCTTTGCCATTACACAGCAGCCTTGCCAACAAAGCAAACACAAATTTTCAGCTCCTTAAGGCAAGGCAAGGAGCCTGTGTGGCTTAGCTGGGAGCTAAGTGTGAACTGCTCAGTTCCAGTCTTGAGTAAAGAAGTTAGCATGTATTGTAGTTTAGGACTATTAGACACAGATGAGACTAAGTACAATGAAGTTAAGCTTGTTCCACTTGAAGGATATTTCATGAATTGGAAGAGGTAATAAATTCAGTACAGAACAAATTTATTTAGACTATAATTGTTAAATTGCTTGGAGAATTAAAATCTGTGATGGATGAGATGACATATAGCAGGAAAAGGTCAATTTTTTTTTTTTCATAGTCTGATTCATTGTAAGGTAAATGCTACCCACATGGCATTTGTTAACTGTATTTCTAAAATGTATTCACACAGGCAGTGAATAGTGGTTATTTGATAAAGCTAAGAAAATAGAAAGCTAAACTTTTATGACATTTATATGGCCCAGCTCTAGTCAGAAAGATGTAAGCACTCAGTAAAACATAAGCATTATAGAAACTCTGCCATTTTGACCATACAAGGGACTGTCTGCCCAGTTAAAGTCTGGCATTTATGTGAATTCCTGTTCTTTTAGATATCTATTTTTATCTTTCATTAAATTCTTCATGGGGTGACACAGAAATCCCAAAGAAAATTGCTAAGAATAGTTTCCCGTATCTACTCAAGCTTTCCTTTGCATAACATTATGAAAATCTCAAATTATTGTGCTTAACTTGGGATCAAGATGAAACAAGAAGTGGAGTAAAGATTATCCCACCTCTGCTAACTGCAACGACATCAGATCACACATAACCTATCAAGGACCTTTGCACAGATTTTCAATCTGTGTGACAGTTCTTTTGCTTCTGCTTTTCCTGCTAGTTGGGAAAAAAAAAGAAAAAAAACAACATCTAGCCCATCAAGATGCAGTAGAATCAAGCTGCACACAACATTCCAGCAGTCATAATCACACAGCCTTTGGTAGGGACATAACTTAAGGAGATCCTGAGCTGGAAGCTGAGAGCTGTGTAGCTATATCACTCCAAATCTGTATATTGTCATCTTACAACTAAAAATGCAGAGTCTACCTATGTTGATGTGCCAGATTTGTGTTTCAGGTACAGGGCTAGGAAACTCAGTTTGAAAATAAATAAATAAATAATCTTTTAAAAATTTCTATTACATACTAACAACCAGATTTGTACTTCCAATAATAGTGTGCAAGTTTCAGTTTTCACTGCCACATTGCTCTGAAAGTAATGCCTCCTATTTATTTCCATAGAAACGTCAATAAATATAAAAACCGTAGCAACACTATTTGGGAGAGCAAATTCTAAGCTACAGAACACTTTTTTTCAGTGTAGTCACCACCATTAGCTATGCATTTCATTTTTGCCAGTGATGAACAAGAACCTGCATGTGTGCTTGTAACAGTCTGCATGGCCATCCAGAACATTGCTTTCACATTGCTGATGCACTGCAGAAACATACTACCCACAGCCTCACTGTGCTCATGTCCACTGGCTGCTCTCCATCAACGTTCAGCAAGTGTCAGTGAATGTCACTAGGTGCCATTTTTTCCACGTGGAGGAGCTCAGTTCCACATCTTTGCTTCATCTGCATTTCCATGTCAGATGCCATTCTGTCACACTGCCCCTCTGCTGCTATCAGTCACATGGCAATAACATGTAACAGAATATTGGTGGGAAGGTTCAACCTCTACTGCCATACCACCAACATCTGCCTCTGATGTCCTGAGCCAACAGAAAAAATTAGGAAGCAGTACATTCGGAGCAGCCCTCATATGATCAAGATATCTGTGGTGTTAGTTTCTTTTCAGATGGAAGAATTTAGATAATCATTTCTTAATCTGAAAGGCTGCTCTATACTATATTCTATTTTTTAATGGAGGTGTCGATCTGCAGTGACCTGGGGACACACCCTGACACTTTATTTATTTTACACCTAATTCTGCAAGCTGTCCCATTGCATGGCTTCATTAAATGAAGTCAGAGAATAGATAATTTGAATCTGAGAAGCCAACCTGTGGCTTGCCATTTAATAGTCATGGACTAGCAGGGATAGTAGTCTATTTATTGCATCTGTTAATAGAGTGGGAAGATACTGTAAATCTAGCTTTGTTTAGTTTGTGCTTAACTGCTTGAATCAAACAATTGAAATTGCTGTTCATTAAAAGTAATATTGTGTGCTCTTCTGTAAAATGAAATGTAAATATATCTCAACTCTGGAAATAATGAATTTGTTAATCTTTCCTGCAGCAATATGAGAACTGGCGACCAAACCAGCCAGATAGTTTCTTTTCTGCTGGAGAAGACTGTGTTGTTATAATATGGCATGAGAATGGACAGTGGAATGATGTTCCATGCAATTACCACCTGACCTACACCTGCAAGAAAGGAACAGGTAGAAACATTACAGAAACTATGGCATATAATTCTTTATTCCGGTTTTATAATGCTAAAGGAACAAAATATTGTCAATTTCTGGTAATCAGTACAGGGATTTCAGAAGTGAGTTAGCCCTCAAAATCACCTTTATCTGCAAATCACATCTCCTAATCTTCTTTTGACTCAGACACAGAATGATACCCAGTTGAAACTCATGGTTAAAACCAGGCAAATTTCTTATTTACAGATCTCAAGAGACATTCACAGACCTGGCAGGACTGTTTTACTTGCATGCCTTGAAAATACTACCAATTCTTCTTTCCTTTAATACATCACTGTGAAATGATGTGGGCATCAGAGATAGTATGCACAGGAACAGAACAAAACTGCAACAGGGCAGGGTCAGGCTGGATATTAAGAAACATTTCCATGCTGTGAGGGTGGCCAGACACTGGAACAGTCTTCCTAGAGAGGTGGTGGGTGCTCCATGCATGTCAGTGTTGAAGAGGCATTTGGACAATGTTCTCAGTAACATGCATTAACTTTTGGTTAGCCCTAAAGTGGTCTGGAAATTGCTCCAGATTCTCATTGCCTCTTCAGCACTGAGCATCATCTGTCAAGTGATGCTGCCCTCCTCTTCCACATTTTCCAAAACCATGTAGTTTAATCACAGAATCATAGAATCATTAAGGTTGGAAAAGACTTCTAAGACATAGTCCAACCACAATTGCACTTCAGGAATCTGAAAGGCATTCTGGGCTTACACACTGTTAAAGCTGATTGAAGAAACCTAAGAAATGCCAGGAGCTGTACATTAACATCTTAGTTGTTCTCTGTCTCTTTGTACTGGGTAAGTAAAGAAGAACAAAAATCTTGTGTGCACTTCATCACTGCCCAGTTACTATTTGCAGCTTGTTAATATGTTCTCTGTGCATTGATGAATGCATGAGTTTAACGTATCTTTAATCAATGTATTGTTGAGGAGGACATGATAAGTTTTGAGAATAAGATAATTTTCTTAAATACTTGCTGTAACTTCAATACTTTTCAGGTTTTACAGTTTTCCAGTGAGTATGAAAACTTTTTTGGTTCAAATATATATTAGTAACTTAAAGCAAAAAAGAAATATTAACAGCACAACCTGTGATTTCCCATTTCCCATTTGCTCTCCTAGAACAGGACAGCTACAGAAAAGACTGATCTCCCTGTTCTTGTTTGAACATGTCTCTTTGGAGTCTCGCTGAAGCCACTGGTGTAGGAGGCAGTTATCACATTCAGATGAGCTTTCACTAACTGACATTTTGGGTTCCGTTTTTCTTTTTTTGTCTTCATTTCAGTTGCCTGTGGTCAACCTCCTGTTGTAGAAAATGCAAAGACCTTTGGGAAGATGAAACCTCGTTATGAGATTAACTCCCTTATTAGGTATCACTGCAAAGATGGTTTCATCCAGCGTCATATTCCAACCATACGTTGCCAAGGGAATGGAAGATGGGATATGCCTAAAATTACATGCATGAATCGTAAGTTCTTTGAAAATGAGTCTGTGTTGGGCTGGGATCAATAGACTCATTAATGTAAAAATGATCATCTATAATTGTAAGTAATGATAAGTAACAAGCACATCTTTTAAAAGAAGTGCAGGAGATATAAACAAAATCTCACATTACAGATGATGACAGTAGTGCAACTCCCTCTGTAGAAAAATCATTGGGATCCAAAAACTAACATGAATGTTCCTTTTCTGTTTTTACAGAAGCCATTAAGATTCTTTTAAATTAAACAGCAGGTCTCTTGCAAAGTCCCTAAAATTAATAGGTTGCTAACAACACCAACTTCTATCGGTGTGTTCTAAGTTTGTGTAAGAGATGATTCTCCTGTCCGTAACATGGTCATACTAGTTAATCATTTGTTAGCCCTCTAATTAACCAAGAATAAATAGAAAGGGATGTAAAGACAAATGATTCATGCTTGAATTATTTTGATTTCCTTTTATTTTTCCTCCTTTTCATTGCAGCGTCCACGTACCAAAGGACTTACTCTAAGAAATACTACTATAAACATTCTTCGTCAGGAAAGGGAACATCATTAAATTCATCAAAACACTACCATCGCTGGATCAGGACGTGGCAGGACTCAAGGCGCTGAGTGCTAAATGGTGAATGGGGATTTCCACCATTTCAGCCAAAGTTCTAACTTTCTGTGCCTTTTCTATCACTTTTAGGAGTATTATGAAATTGTTTTGAAACTACGGACTCCGGTATTCACAATGCATTTTGCAAAAATATTGTGTTTATCAGAAAATTTTTAAAAGTATATAGAGGAGAAGTGCTTATGGGGATAAAAAGAAACCATTTCCAGCCTATAATGATCATTAGTTTTCTATATGCCATCAGTGTGGACCATTTTATGATACTTACCAGCCTTTTGCAATATTTAAACAGCTCAATTTTAGCACCAATGAAAATGTAAATAAGATGATTTTAATGTTGTTTAATTGTTTTTTGTTTTTAAAATCCTGTATATAAAATGAAAAGTCACACTAAGTTCGGGCATATTTATGGTTAGAATGGCCTCAGAGGTCTTCAGTCATTTATGACATTGTTTTTATGTTTACCTAGGCTGGAAATGGTGGAAATAACTTTACTGACTGAAATTTGCTATTAACAGGTGAAGATAAACACAAAAGTTACATGAATTTTTTTAAAAATGCAAACTGTGCCAGTTATCATTCGAGGTACAGTTTGTGTCCATGTGAAGCAAAATTTAGAGCACATAAGCGGGGATATAGCATGAACTAGGGACTGCAATGTGGAACTTTTTTTCTGCTCTCCATTCCAGCCTCATCATTCGTGAGAAAGGACTGCATGGAGGACTTGTATATGACAAGGAGGGCCTGTAAAAATCCAAGTGCTAATACATTAACTTTATCAACCAGGGCCACCTTTTTTGAAAGAAAGAAAAAAGAAAAAAGAAGAAAAAAATGACTTTCACAACATTAACTACAAGGTCTATATTACAGGTCTCTGCATTCTAAAATGGAGATAGACCTAGTGTTTGGGGGATCAATTTTTGTAAAAAACAAACAAAATCAAAAAAGTAAATAATTTTGTATATATAACCATTTTTTAATCTTTTTATAAAGTAATGAATGTTTGTGTATGAATGCTGCAGCTGTGAAGCGTACATAAATAAATGAAGTAAGCCATACTGATTTAATTTATTGGATGTTATTTTACCCATGCAAAGAAGATTAAAAGAGCTCGCCAGAGCAGTATTAGCCCCTGAGCTCCACTTTTGGAACCATCTTATGCTATTTCCCTAGAGAACAAAATTCCTGCTAAACAGGCTCATTTGTTTGTGGCTAGATGGATGAGATCTGTGTGACTTGCAGAAGAATCAGGATCTTGGCTTTCTAGACAGAAGTGTGTGCACAGAAATTCTAGGTTGTAGTTGGTGCAGTGTGTGTGTAGGAGTTTTCTGTTATGATTTCTTACCCTGGTCAGTGTGACAACTGACCTGGATGTGTACAGTAAGTGTAGAAGGTAATGTTTGAAAGGACCTCTCCACATAAAGGACTGTGATTATTTCTGGGAAGTTCCCTGCACAGCTTTGGGCACAGGAAAAAAGGAAAGAAAAAGGGAAAATAAAGAACAGTAAGTTCCCTGGGATACACTTTCTAAAATATCACTGCAAATACAGAGACAGATGAGAGGTTTATGCCTTTTGTTATGGAGAAGATACAAAAAGTTGGAAGGGAAAGGAAAAGAACTGAAAACACAGCCAACATTTAAGAGTTTATCTTAGGCAGAGCTACCCATGAGGCAGCCTTGCTATAGCTTATTGGGAACACTGATTACAGTTCCAGACAATATCTCTTAAAAAAATGGCAGTGACTGCTCCATACTGGGTACCTGACCTTTGTGTTTCAGCCTGGCAATGCATCGCTGCGTTGGCTGGTTCATTCCCCACCCCTGCCCCCAAACAATGCACATAATACTTTTCTCTATTTATATTATCTTGTATAGTGTACAATGTGAATGTCTGGTTTTTTGTGAATGAAAGTCTAAAATCTTTGTAACTTTTATATCTGCTTCTGTTTCACCAAAGAAACAAGGTTTTGCTATACTGTGACTTGTCTTGTTATTGCATGTCTTCCTGTTTAAATCTATGCAATGTGATTTTTTTCATATGAATACAACTAGACTATCAGTACTTCACAGTCATCATGGGCTTGGTCAAATGCCCACTGGAGTCAAAGAGAAACAGCTGGCTGAACTTTAATAGGTGCTGGATTTGATTTTATATGAGCAACGGTAGGAGATTTGGAGTAACATTTTAAGATATGCAGTTTATGTTCTGAAGTTGATTATTGTTTGTATGAGTCAAGGCTCTGCTCATAAGTATACAGTGTTCTGCACATCACTTCCTTGTACCAGAAGCATACAAAACAGAAAATATATTTTAACATTCTGCAAACTTTCTCACCATATGTATAAAAAACCCTGCATAGATTTGTTGTTTTCTTGTTTACTTGTTGGATTTAAACAATGTTGTAAGGCATTCAGATAACATTGTGATTGTAGTTTAAGTAGGTTAGGTGCAGTGCTTATATTGATTTTTTTTTCACCTCCTTCTATTACGCATAATAAAGTAGGACTGACAACATTCCTTATTAAAAAAGAAAAAAAAAAAGAAAAAAAATTACAACCTGTTACCCATGCTTGTTTATTTAGACAGATAATTAAACTTTTTTTTAAGCCTGACCTGAATCCCAAGTGGTCCAGTGCCGGAATTCATGTCACAGGGCAGGTCTGATGGGACACTGGGATGTCACTGCAGCAACACTGACCTCCAGAACATGACAGGGCATTTGATAGTGTACAGGAACTGCTGTCAAAGCCAGGGATTTACATACATTCTTTTTTCAAATGTTCTTTCTTAGTTTTCTTTTCTTGCCTTCCAAGTTTACCCAGGATCCTGTTTAACATTTGTCAGATCCCCCCTCTGCAGATGAGGTTCTCCTCCTGCAGGGCTTAGCACTTACACAGGATAGGGTAAAACCAGGCCACCTATTCTAGTAAAGCATCTCAAAGGGGTAGTGCACTAGGCATGTGCTACCTAGTGGAAACTTTCCTGTATCCCAGATACACCATAAAGGCTGAGGCTGCATGACTCAAATCTAGGTAGAAAGATACAGCTTTATCTTCTTGCAGGATATTGGTGCATTTGGGACATCCTATTGAAGTGTCACTGCAAATAGAGACTTATCAGAGGCTGGACATAGAAGTATGGCACAGGAGAAAATACAAGTCCCTGGATGTACTAGCAAGGTACAAACAGGCTGGCAAGGTTTTACCAAAGGAAGGGATAGCATGCAAAGAGTTCTTTGCAGTGTGGGAGGGTTTTGCCAGGGCCATGACTGAACGCTGACCTTCCATTGTTGGAGGGTCAGCCTATGGGTATGGTTTGGGTCCCTGTCACCATAAGGGAAAGATCCTCACTGAGCAGATGCAGTAGCCAGCACACACATGCAGACACTTTTCATTGACAAGACGATGATGGACCTGCCACAGCCAGTGTGATCAGAGCTGTGAGGAGCACTGGCACAGCTGCCCGGCTGGTGGGAGCAAGGCAAACAGCAGCTGCAGCTATCAACCTAAACTTTATTGTATAACTGCTGGAAACTGGGATCATGATAAAAGTCCTAACAGTGCTTGTGGATATAATTAAATCCTCTGTGAATCCCTGCATGCTGCTGCCTTAGCAACTTGGCATCCAGAGGGGCTGTGTTTGTGTCTGCTGGTTGTCCTTGCCACCCCGTGCCCCACAGAGCGGTATCCACTTGTTGTGTCTCCAAAACACCCCAGGACTGAGCAGGGCTGTGGGGCAGATCCTTGAGCTTTCATGGCATTCACAGGAAGAGGTTTGAGATCCTGGTGGTGTGAACCTGAGGTGAAGTTTTGTACGGAGAGCAGGGTGAGAGAGAGGCCATCTTATCTCGCTGAAAGGCCTGCAGCATGGCCTTCTGTGTGCTAGCACTGCACTAAAGGCTAATATAATGTTTAAGTGCAAAAAGAAAAAAAGACGAACAGGACCTTGAGGTGTATCAGAAGAATTTATTGCACGGATGGGAATGGATTCATGATGCTACAGGAATGCCTCCAGATATCCCTTCTGCCAGTAGCCAGAAGGTCAGTTCAAGCTGGAAATGGTCTGGAATCCTACTGTTCAAATGGTCAGAAGATCTGCAGTTTGACAGTCCTTGTGGGTCCCTTGCAAATCCAGATGTTCTGTGATTCCATGACTGGGGAAGCTAAAGGCCAGGCAAACACAGTCTGTGTGGTCCTGCGCCAGTGCGACAGTTTTAATCAACAACTATGTGGCTTCTGTCCGTAAGATACAGGAGCTGCTTCATGCAGTGGTGAAAAGTTCCGTGATGGTAGAAGACCTTACTGCTTTAAAGCAGGAGATCAGCTCAGGAGAGGGAAGAAATAGCATGACTGTCTCTGCAGGTAATAGCAGATGTCCTTCATCTCTTACACTGCAGTGTTCATGGTGTTAATGAAAAATAATTTTCCTACACAGCAGGGAAACAGAGGCTTGGCAGAAACTGCATTCAAAAATCTGTAGCAGACCCAGGAAATGAGTTTGTACTTCACAGGGACCCTACTCCTTCACAGGTGGTTTTTTTTTTAAAAAAAAGCTTTCTAGAAGATGGAAGTTTTCATTCCAGAGGCACAGGTGAGAAGTCCTGCAATAGTAAAACCCTTACTTCAAGGACAAAGAGGTAACCACAGGGTAACCACAGCTGGTAGCTGGGTCACAGCTCCCTAATACCCACCTGGGTGTCTCCAATGCTTTCTCCAAAGGTGCCAGACTCCCAGCCCACACACCTTGCCTATGACCCTTTACTTGGGGGAAAACAAAGTAGACTGGGCAGCTCATGCTAGCTTTCTAGTACTGTCGGGGTGTAAGGAGATCCACACATACTAGTGATCTGTGGTACCTAATCAATCACATGCCACTTGGGTGACAATCTCCATGTGGGTGGGACCTCCATGTGATACCTGCAGCATTTTCTCTGGAGCAAAGGAATATCTCTGGTCACTATGTGGTCACTGACAGAGAGACATGCTCTAAGGAAAAAGGCATGACTGGAAAAAGTGACATTTTGATCCCTACTCCCCCATGTCCTTCCCGTGCCAGCAGCCTGGCTTTCTCCCCAGGGGCATGCTCTCCAGACTGCCATTTCCAAAGGCAGGTTAAAATGGTCCAAAGTCTTATGAAAATGATATTGTTACGAAAAGAAGTCAGAGGAAAAGATGCACGAAGAATGTCTGGATGAAAAGAATATAGTCATTGATTTGAAAATAGTAAGTCAATCCATATTAAATTTGTCTTAGGGAAGAATTTGATTTTGTACTAACAAATTTACACTAGCTGGACAGCTATAATCTCAGTGACTGTACATCAGTATAATAGCTAGTTATAGTATATGATACATGCTACTATAGTTTTCAGTAAGTAGGCTTAAATGAATGTTTTCTTCATCAATAGCAGAATTTTTATTTGCACTTTGTTACTAGAATTTTTTAAAGCTCCTAAAATCTTTCAGGACTTTACTTTGTACAGACTTTCCAGATGGTGTTTGTACAAGTGGGCTACACATTCAGTGACTTTCTAGTCCTGGAAAATGCTTAGGAACAGCTATTTATACTACTAAACCCAAACATGTGAGTTTAAAATGACAAACAGTGGAAATTCAAAAAAGGGCTTTTTGGAACACCTTAAGTGATACCAACATATTGATGAAGTGAAATGACTTCTGAAGTGAATAGCTTAGGATATCCAGCCTGTTGTATACAGTTGTTCCCAAGGATGAATGTGAAAGATACGGGGAAAAAAAAAAAAAAAAAAAAAAAAAAAAAAAGTGCTTTTTCCTGCAAAAGTAAAAGGCCTGCTATGAGAGGAAGAGAGAATGCAGGGTAGCTGGGACTGGCGTCATAGGCATGTTCAAGTCAGTGCATTTTGAACCAGTGTAAAACAGGGTTGAATTTGCAGATGGTGCAACAAATCTTCAGGCTGCTAGGATAGCTGCAGTTCATTTCTGTGGGAGTACATTTCCATTTGTATTAAATCACTGGCTTTCCAAATGAGGATGAAGATCAAAATTATCCCTTCATGCAGCATAATCTGCTGCCATGCTTCATGTGTGTTTGGAGTAGCTAGCTGTCCTTGAAGACACTTCTCCTACAGGCCATCTTCACCACTGCTAAGCTCCACTTCACTTCTCTGGAGTTTGCAGGCCTTGCCCTTCCTCTGCACCCTTCTGCAGCTGCATCCCAGTATTCCATATGTTTACTCAACTACCTGTGTGTGCAATCCGAGTGTGAGAGAACACAGCACGTGGAGTCTATTGATTCCAGATCATGAGCAGGGCACTGCAGCACTTGATCTCAGCTATCTAAACCCCATCCAGAGCATGAGATCAGAGAAAATGTAAAAGCACATGTTGAAGGACCCATGCAAAGCCATGGGTAGAAGCTTCCATGCTAGCCAGGCAAAAGAGGAATACTTTGCCAGTGATTTCTTGTGATTTGTTTTTGCATTGGTATACATATTGGAAATGTGGGCCAGAGTGTGTACGAGTAAGATGGGATTTGAATGTACAGATGGAGGGAGAAGGGATCTTCTCAAATAAGGGCCGTTACTCACTTTGAGGCCATCAGGTAGTCACACAGTCATATCTGTTGCCAAAAATGCCATCCAGGATTCTTCACCTGCAGGCAGAGTGCAGTTGTCCCTGACACGTGCTTTCAGCGAAGGCTCATAAAAGCTAATACTGTACAGCAAAATGCAAAGGCATGGGTCATTTCCTTTAGCCTCACCTTTACAATGGGGAAAGCATTGATTTTAGTACAAACATTGCAAATGCATAGATTACATGTACAGATAAGGAAGAAGAGAAGGAAAAGGAAAGAGCAGGATATCTTCAAATGCTCATTTTGACACAAGCCATTCGGTGACGCTATGAAAACAGAGAAACACTGGGAAAAATATTGTTGGGATTCATTCTGGTAGGCATTAGGAAGTCTTGTTCCAAGAGCAGCTTCGCCACGTCCAAGAATGAGATAAACTCTAAGAAACATTGCAGTACATGGATCTTATTAAAGTTTATTACTTCTTCAGTTTTCCACACACATAAAAATTAAATCCATATAGTTACGCCATGGGGCCAAGACATTTTCGGATGAAATAACCAACATGATGACAACAGCAGGAGACAATGAAAATCTTTTTTACAGAGGCTGTGTGTCCCTGCTTTGTACCCTTCCTGCAGCAGGCATATAGCTGCCTAGTTCCTCAGTGTTGGAGCTGAAGGCATTTTATTTGCTTTCCAATGTTATTTATTTAAAAGAAAAGTGACATAGGTAAAGTCCCCAAATGAAGGCATATATGTCCCAAACTCATAAACCTACAACATACATCTTTTTTGGCCAATGGTAAAACTAATTTTGCTTTTCATCTATTCAAAGTGTTGCTTTGAGTAGCTACAAAGTCAGTGTTGTATCACCTGCAGGTTTATATAGTCTGTGCCTACATGGAACAAAGTCAAAAAGGAAAATGGGTTAGCTTAAAAAAATGGGTGTA